TCTAAGACATTTTCTCATAAATGGGAATTTTCCAAAGAAAGTGAAGGTCAGATTTAAGCAAAGCACACTAAAATACACCAGAAAATATAGGTTGTCTTGTAAAAAACACGAACGTCACTGAAACTGATAATTACCTGGAATATTTACCTTAGAAAACAATGTTCATATCAGGAGGAATGTAGATGAAGGACTGACTAATAAGGCGGTGCCCCTCTTGTAAACCTTTACCAAGAATAACGTTAAAAGTGTCATGAGGAAGTGTTAGGATCAAACGCTGCGACGACGAACCATTAATAAACAGCCGCTAACACCAACCAACCAAGCCTTTTCTACCCAACCTAACGTTTTTACTTTGTTTTTATTAAATATTTAGAATGTGAGCGGCACTTTTTTACGCGGTATTTTTTTAACTAAATTTTTATGGTTCGAAAAAAAATCTGGTGGGGGGGGGTGAAAAGGGATAAAGGAAAGAGATTTACATAACTAAATATTTCATAAATTAAAGCAGAAAGTGTGGGCGTTTATCTACAGGTTTCTGAGAATACATTTTTCCACATAACCTTTTTCAACAAATAGTGACAGAAAAAGGGGAGTATATTTTTGTTTTGTGATGTGCAATTTGTTGAAACTTCATCGCACGAAACTGATTAATATCGAACATTAAACAAAATACACTGAAGCTACGAAAGAGTATTTTAGCTAATAGTGAATGCAAGTCAGCACAACATTCATTAAAAATGTCATTTCGTGAACTTAAGAGTAAGAAAACAATTTCATAAAGATGGTTTAGGTCGTTCATTAAATGGTTTACCTGTACGTGTCCAAATATCCACCAAAACCACCACATGCTTTTGTCGTGTTAACATTAGGTGTTTTAACAGGAACTGGGGAAAGTTTGACTATTTTTTCTTCAATTAGGTTTTGTGTAAGAGGTGGAGAGGTGTATGCCATTTATTAATATCGTAGGTATGGACGTTCCAATGTAAACAAAACATTATTTAAAGATTTATACATGATAATAACAAAAGTTGCAAAGCGTCATTTTGATATCAAGTGTAAGAAAGTAAATGGAGTTCACGTTTCTACATTTGGATTTCACGGGCTAAGAATTTCTACGTTGGTAATACTTGAGTTGAAACGGCCTCTAGTCCTTCAAAGCTGGAGAGTCCTTAGGTTAGTCAGCGAGTCAGACGAGAGACTGGGTAAGGGTTCGTTTGATGTAGCGGCTCGCTCTTGTCCTTACTCAAACGTTCGTGTGTAATGTGTGTTTTTGTGTAACTCGTATTTCTTGTACATTTTATTGATAGATTAATCTTCTGATGGAAAAGTTAGATTAGGAAACAGTCTGTTACCAACCTACTTATCCATAACGATCAGTAGCGAATGTAATGTGTGTTTTGGTGTGAATAAGAAAATAAAAGTCGTGTTCTGTAGACCTGTCGATCCATTAGGCTCACAATGTTTACTCAGCCTGCGGTACAGTGCACGAGGAGGCACTTTTATATTTCAAATTAGTTATTCATGCACAGTTGAGTGTACTGGGGCTGCCATGGCTTAATTCATTTTTTTCTTAAACACTTACAGAATGAAATCTCGACAGTACATTAGTTAGCTGCCATCGCCTCCTTTTCTGATTTCAATTCGTGGATGATGCAACGTACAGTAGATAAAACAACTATCTGTGCATACTTTGTGGGAAACAATATGAGACCATGGGCGGTAAATTTTGGTATATCAGGGCTGTCACTAGTCACACGTAAAATTTCGGAGCATATCGGCCCCCACCTGCACAGATAGTTGTTTTAGATACTGTACATTTCGGGAAGTGTTTACATACGTCGAGTGAATCAGTTGGTTGGTGTTCGAACTGTTTTGTAAATCTCTTAATCTGAGGGTTTATTGTCCGAGGATTCGAAGTTACATTGTTCCGAAACTCTAGTCGAAATCTTTAAGTCCCATAGATTAGGGTAGGTTATTTTAAGTTAGGGTAAGTTATATTAGGCTAGGTTAGGTTATCTTAGGTTAAGGTAGATTAGGTTAAGTTAGGTTAGGTTAGCATTGTGGTGGTTAATGTTCAAATGAAACAAGCTAGAATCTCCACATCAAGTGATTCGAAATACACAGTCTCTTGTCTTTTGAAATCGCTCTAATTTCCGGATTACATTATTGTTATTTATAATTTCTTAATTTTTAGTTGGGGGGGGGGGGGCAGTAATTTTATTGTTTTAACTGAGTATTTATTTTATATTTAATCTAATTATCCGTTATTACTTTTGCTACGTTCTTCCGTCTTTTGTTTATTTAGTTTATCTTATTTTTTTCTGATGCTCTTTTGTTTAATCATCGCTTGAGTTTGTTGATCCTTGGGTCACGTATGATCATCCCACAGTCTAGGGTAGCTTGGGTTAGGCTTTCGGTGCTGTTGTGAATTATTAAAACAAACTAAGACTCATTAGCTTAAACTACAGACATTAACTCAACACCATTTAGACTGGGATGGATAAAACCAACTTATAAAATTTATGTGAATGTGTAATACGTACTTTGAACATGAAATTTAACTGGTGGGGAGCGAGTGGTCGTATCGCCAAGGGGAGGCGCAATGAAATACTGTTGCGAATGGCAGGCGATATCACCCTTCTCTTATAATTAACACTAAAAACCGTAATAATACAGGAGGGGAAATGCCAGACGTAGGTGATGGCTTGTGTTGGCGTTGTCCTTATGGCAGGGACCAGGTGTTTGAATCTGTACAATTAGAAAGTCGTGGGTTTTTTTTTTTTTAACTCTTAATTGTAATGTTTTCGTTTTGACGGACATGATCGCTGGAACGCGGGTAAGCTACCGTAAAAACAACACTTAACCCCTGTCCCCCCCCCTCCCTCTTCGTCAGTAGCAATACCTCCACTTGCTGTGTTTTATTAGACATGAAAATAATAATAATACCACGCGATTCATATTGTGTCAGTACACCTCTCACAGGCCGACCATGGAAGAGAATAGGTCACTAGAGTAAGAATGACACGATAACGCTTTTTAGAACGTGTTAATGCGTATAAAAAGACATTAATGATGTGTCGCTAGGGCCACATATTGGTTTTATAGTTATTTTTAATCGGTAAATTTAGCTGTGTACAAATATTCACTTGTTTTAAAGGGTACGTTCAGGAGTTCACAATAGATTTGTTCCTGATTTATGAATACACACACACACACACACACACTAGTAATGTTTTCCTTAAACCTTCACAAATTAAAAAACAAAATAAATCAGTCTTAACTTTACCCAAACGAACCTGTCATCTTAAATCATACACTGGGAGAGGTTCAAATTGCCCCGGGTGAGACTGGCGGGATAAGTACGCCGTTGGGACTGTGAGGCAGAGAGCTGTATTTGGCCTCCCTCCTGTGGTTATCAAGTTGTAATTCTAACTAAAAAAAAAACTTCCTTATTTTGTTTGTAAAGTAAAATTCGCTTCATAATGTTTGCCTTACATTTTATTTCTGACTTCTTTGAATAAGTTTACATAACCAAGCCAGCTAGTGTAAAAGTTTCCGGGAAATCAGTTCATTATTATACACGCTAGACTGCTACCAGACAGACGGAAAAAATAGACTAACCAAAAACTCGAAACTAACTTATAAGATTGTCCAAGTAATTTAGTTCTTGATAAAATGGTAAATAAAAGTTATGTATATACAAGTACCGTATATATAAACACGCGGAGGAATACATTAGGTTACCAAGACATCAACAATTCGTATGGTAGCTAGAGCCGTTTTTAGTGGTGTTAACAGGTTTGATAATATATGGGATTATTTATCAATGATTTCTACATGGTGTGAAAAATAGATACAAATAAAAGTTCAAATACTGAAATGTGGTTATGATTCCGCGTAGACTTGTATCTCTCTCTCTCTCTCTCTCTCTCTCTCTCTCTCTCTTTCCTCTATTTTTCTTTCTCTCTCTCTTTCCTCTATTTTTCTTTCTCTCCCTCTCTCTCACTAGATCCACTTTTCTCTTTCTCTCCCTCTCACTGCCCTCTTTCTCTCTTTCTCTCTCCACATCATGTTGGGTTGCCCGCGTAAGACCTGTCATGCCTCTATATTGAAAGCTTGTCACATTCGCGCCCAGGGATGGCCTTACGTCCAAAGTCACCTGGCTTTATATATTGGGATTGGCTTGACTAAAAGTAGGAGTTGTGAGGACTGGCTTGGCTATAAATTTGTGGTGTACAATGTGATGAAGATGTACAGTGTGTTGGAGATAGTGATGTGCAGTACAGTGCGGTGGTGGTGTACAATGTGGTGGTGGTGGTGCACAGTGTGGTGGTGGTGGTGGTGCACAGTGTGGTGGAGGTAGTGGTGTACAGCTTGGTAGTGGTGGTGGTGCACAGTGTGGTGGAGGTAGTGTAGAGTGTGGTGGTGGTGGTACAGTGTGGTGGTGGTGGTGCACAGTGTTGTGAGGTGTGGTGTACAGTGTGGTGGTGGTGTACAGTGTGGTGGTGTACAGTGTGGTGGTGCACAGGTGGTGGTACAGTGTGGTGGTGTACAGTGTGTGTACAGTGTGGTGGTGGTGGTGTACAGTGTGGTGGTGGTGGTGGTGTACAGTGTGGTGGTGTGTACAGTGTGGTGGTAGTGGTGTACAGTGTGGTGGTGCACAGTGTATTGGTGGTGGTGTGTGTGGTGGAGGTCGGTGTGTGCACAGTGTGTTGGTGGTGGTGTACAGTGTGGTGGTGGTGGTGTGTACAGTGTGGTGGTGGTGGTGGTGTACAGTGTGGTGGTGGTGGTGTACAGTGTGGCGGTGGTACAGTGTGGTGGTGGTAGTGTACAGTGGTGGTGGTGTACAGTGTGGTGGTGGTGGTGTACAGTGTGGTGGTGGTGGTGTACAGTGTGGTGGTGGTAGTGGGAGGGACCGTGCGCCGTAATCGATGCTGTGTGAGTGTGGTAGTGAGAAGCGAGTCAGTAGTGTGAGAGAGACGGTGTGGGAGCTACAGGTGTCGTGGTGTGAGGGCAGGAGGGAGGCAGCTGGGTGTACAGGTGTAGCAGCTGCACCACCACCACCGCCGCCGCTATACACTAGTGTCCCCTGGCGGCCTCCGGCGCTCTGCCTTGCCTAAAATGGCGGTGTTGGGGGTCGGCGCGCGCGGGCCAGGCTAGTGTGACGGAGCATGTGTCCGCGGCGCCCGCCCGCTCCCGTTCCCCCTGCTGCTGCTACTGCTGCTGCTGCTGCTCCTTCTGCCGCCGTCGCCGCGCCTCTTCTGCTCAACCTCCACAGCTGCAGCAGCACTGACTTCTTTCGCTGTTGTGGATATTGTGAGTGGCGAAGCTTACTGGTGCTGTGACCGCAGGTGGTGGGGGCAGCTGCAGCAGCCAGTGAGACCCTAGTGATCAGTACCTGCTTCAGTGATAACGTGAGCCCCTTCGTCAGGAGAGGCGGCGCCACGTGGAGCGCGCCCTGCTCGCCCACGCCCACGCCCGTGGCTGCCAGCAGCTGCAGCAGGGGCGGCCCCCACCATGGCCTCCACCGGGCAGGCCAGCGGCACTAACAAGGCTGTCAACGGCGGCCGCTTTGATTTTGACGACGGTGGGACTTACTGTGGTGGGTGGGAGGACGGTAAAGCCCATGGCCACGGCGTATGTACGGGACCCAAGGGTCAGGGCGAGTACTCAGGATCTTGGCATTATGGATTTGAAGTGAGCGGCATCTACACCTGGCCAAGGTAGGTCACCCGCCATCAGTTTACACAACACATGTTACCAACAATGCATCTGGGATCGTTACTGATTGTTACGTTACTGTGAGGTGGAGTGTTATGTTGGTCAAGGTGACGATAGACCGCTTATAGCTAGTCAAAGTCAGGTGAGCCGGTGAGCTGTGTTTTGAGTCAGGTAAACAAAGCTTAACTGATTGATAATGATTTAATCAAGAACAGGTAACAAGAACTTGGACCAAGTAATCGAAACTAGATGGACGAAAGTTAACGATCAGGGCCAGCTGGTCTAGTCTCAGGCAGTGACGCATACTCACGGCGACTGTGTTGAGGAAATTTGATCAGTGTTGCAACATTTACTGGCAAACTCGAAACACTGGCCACAAGCAGTCGAGGCTTTTCAGAACTTTTGATGTAATTAGATTCCATCATACACATACACACACACACACTCAGGTTCTCATCCAGTCACTAAGCGGTCTCCCTGATGTCCCTTTTCGTAGGTCCTAAGAATAGTCACTTAGCAGGAAGTTGCGTGACTATCCTGGGAGGTGAGGGGCGGGTCCTCCTCTTCTCCCCCCACAAGATGAACCAAAATTATTATACTTGACTCTGTGTGTCTATACCGTGAGTCAGGTGTGCCATAGATGGACTACTCGTGAGGTACTTGACACACTCCTGCATACTTGACCTAGAGAAGGACTCAGCCTCTCACATGTCGGATCAAACGAGTGTTACACAGACTAGGTACCTATGAGATGATGTACTATATGTGGTGTGGGTGACGATGGACCACGCTTTAGTACCGCTGGACGGATACATCCCTACACGTGAGCATTTTACAGTGGAGGAAGTTATCGACGAGTGTGTGGCGGCGGCGTGTTACTGCTGCTGCCTGGCCCACGCGGACACACACACACACACACACACATACACATACACACTCACACACACATACAATCGATGTCACTCTTTGTCCACCACTGTCTTCAAGCTCAAGTATATGGCGTCATACCCATGTATTCCTTTCACCTCACATTAAGGAAGGTCCCTCATGAAGCCCCACAACACGTCTGAAGGTCAAACACTGGTCCAATCTTTGTCAAGGATGTTGGATGTTTGTGTACACTCTGTCATCTGTGAGGACAATTGCTTCAAGACGATATAAACTTATGATACTCAGCTACGCCGTATATGACTTGAGGTTATGAGACTCCTATATTAAAGGTGAACTACAGGTTGTGTCCAGATGTGTCGGTGTTCACTCTTCTGTTGAATACCTACCAGAACGTTCCAAGCAGTGTCGGTGGGAGGGGGAGAGGGGGAAGTGCGTGCTTGTTGTTACGGGGCAGTAGCACGTGAAGGCACCCACCCCGCCCCCTTCCCTCCTCATCCTCCCCCTCTCCCCCTCCTCCCCCTCTCCTCCCTCCCCTCCTCCTCCTCCATCATAATCTCCCCCACGGAGGTCCAGAGTGTGTTTACTGTGCAGAGTCACCCCCTCCCCTCCCCTCCTGAACCGTGCCACACTACTCCTAGTAGCTGTAATAAACGATAAATACTCCAGAAACCTTGAGAGCCCCGAAGACCTTGAGAGCCCTGATGTTGCACCCCCCAGACCTTGAGAGCCCCAATGTTCCTCCCCAAGACCTTGAGAGCCCCGAGGTTCCTCCCCCAGACTTTGAGAACCCCGATATTCCTCCCCAGACCTTGAGAGCCCCGAGGTTCCTCCCCCAGACCTTAAGACCCTCTGGAATTCCGTGAAATAGATCTTTAGTCCTGAATTGTCTTAAAATATACCCCACTGAGGACCCTGGGAGTACCTTGAGCTAGGTGTTAAGACGCCTTGACATACTATTGGTGGCGACAACACTAGCAGAGAGCTCAAGTACCTGCCCAGAGACTGTCCCCAGTGCCTGCCAAGCTACACTCGTCCCTCTCCTGCAAAAATAGATCTCCCACTCTCAAGAAAATATCATATTTTACCTTCAAATTTTTACCTTCAGCTGACTCATGAAAGAGGCTACAGGTGGACATACAATAGGTAGTGTTGGTGTGTGTCTGTGTCTTTGTGTGTGTTTCTGTGTGTGCGTGTCTGTCTGTCTGTCTGTGTGTGTGTGTGAGGGGAAAATGATAATAGGGTGAGAAGAAACAAACGTCTGTGCCAGGGGACGGACAATGGCTGGTGAGGTCAGTCTGCTGGTGGATGCTGGAGAGAGAGAGAGAGAGAGAAATTTTTGATGAGATAAAGTGAGAGATCTCGGCTGATGTGTGGTGCTCGCCTGCTCTGCCCTGCCCTGCCCTGCCCTGCCCTGCCCTGCCCTGCCCTGCCCTGCCCTGCCCTGCCCTACCCTATTTTGTCGATGTTTTTACCCACACCCGAGTTTGTTGGATGATGGAGAGAGGATAAATTTTGTTGGTGTTTTTCATGAGAGACCAGTCCTACTTTACCTATGTCCTACTTTACCTATGTCCTACTTTACCTATGTCCTCTACCTATGTCCTACTATTCCTACTCTACCTATGTCCTCCTCTACCTATGTCCTACTTTACCTATGTCCTACTCTACCTATGTCCTACTTTACCTATGTCCTACTTTACCTATGTCCTACTTTACCTATGTCCTACTCTACCTATGTCCTACTTTACCTATGTCCTCTACCTATGTCCTACTCTACCTATGTCCTACTCTACTGTAATACTACTTTACCTATGTCTCTCTACCTGTGTCCTGCTTTACCTGCTTGTCCTACTCTGCACCTATGTCCTCTACCTATGTCCTGCTTTACCTGTCTCTTTGCCTATGTCCTCACTTTACTATGTCATCTGCCTGTGTCCCTACTCTACCTATGTCCTGCTTTGCCTGTAAATTGCTCTACCTGTGTCTACACTTTACCTATGTCTCCTCTGCCTATGTCTACTTTATGTGTCCTCACTTTACCTATGTCCTGCTTTACCTATGTCCTGCTTTACCTGTCTCTCTGCCTATGTCTCTCTACCTATGTCCCTCTTCCTATGTCCTCACTTTACCTATGTCCTCACTTTACCTGCTATGTCTCTTACACCTGTCTCCTCTACCTATGTCCCTTTACCCCTATGTCTCTTTACCTGTAATACTTTACCTGTCTCTTTACCTGTCTACTTTACCTGTAATACTTTTACTGTATACTTTGCCTATGTCTCTTCCTGTCACTCCTCTACCTATATATCTACCTGTCTATACCTTGTCCTCCTACCTGTCCTACTTTACTATATGTCCCTCTCTACCTATGTCCCTCTCTACCTATGTCCCTACTTTACTATGTCCTGCTTTATTTTCTCTACCTATGTCCTACTTTCCTATGTCCCTACTCTACCTATGTCCCTGCTCTACCTATACGTCTATATGTCTATGTTATTTTACCTCCCTTAAGATCATCAAAGAGGCTCCGTTGTTGAGCCTATTGTCGTCTCTCTCTCTCTCTCTCTCTCTCACACCGTATCCTTGCTCCCTAAGTCGCTTGAATAATGTGTGTGTGTGTGTGTGTGTGTGTGTGTGTGTGTGTGTGTGTACATACTCACAATGCCTCTAGTCATCCCATTGTTGTCGTGGTGTATTTGTACCAAACTATATGATAAAGCCACACACACACACACACACACACACACACACACACACACATTGGAAGTTTAATACAAATTTCTAAATAGAATAAATTAATAAATATATTTTTTTAATTCTACTAATTGTTTGTAAACACTTTTATTTCAGTTCTGATAATTAAAAAAAAAGTTAAATTCATATGTAAATTACTTTTTTTTAATGGTTCTAAGATGTGAAATAGCTATGGAGTTTTGTTTATCAGAGTTAGAGGTAATTCAGTAAGGTACATTGTGAAGTTTTCTTGAGTCGACCCCTGAAAAGAAAACGGCGCCAGACACCTATAGTATACACAAGGTTATGGGTAAACAAACACATCACCTTTACTACAGTATGAGTGAGTCCCTAACCTAACCTAACATTAACCTAACCTAACCTAACATTAACCTAACCTAACCTAACCTAACCTAACATTAACCTAACATTAACCTAACCTAACATTAACCTAACCTAACCTAACATTAACCTAACCTAACCTAACCTAACCTAACATTAACCTAACCTAACCTAACATTAACCTAACCTAACCTAACATTAACCTAACCTACGGACGCATGGATGTTAAAGCGTGTATGAATGCACAAACAGAGGAAAGCGTGTACGCATATTTACGCTAATAAACATACACATGTACCCTTATGAGCTCAGTGACACATGCACTTACCTTCATAAACTCACGTACGCACCCTCATGAACGCACGCACGCACTCTCATGAACGCAAGCACACACACACACTCCTCAACGCACGCACTCTCATGAATGCAAACACACAGTTTCATGAACACACGCACTCACTCTCATGGACTCAAGACCACACACACACACACTTCAACACACGCAGGCACGCACTCTCATGGACTCAAGCACTCACTTTCATGGACTCGCACTCAGGCACGGACTCATACACACAGACAAACCCGCGTCAGAAGATGGCATAACAACACGCCTCCCCGACGTGTCTGAACGCGGCTAAAATTCTCTGTTTGTCACGAAACTTTTGCTGAGTTGAGTGAGTGTGTGAGTTGAGTGAGTGTGTGAGTTGAGTGAGTGTGTGAGTTGAGTGAGTGTGTGAGTTGAGTGGGTGTGTGAGTTGAGTGAGTGTGTGAGTTGAGTGGGTGTGTGAGTTGAGTGAGTGTGTGAGTTGAGTGAGTGTGTGAGTTGAGTGAGTGTGTGAGTTGAGTGGGTGTGTGAGTTGAGTGAGTGTGTGAGTTGAGTGGGTGTGTGAGTTATTTGAGTGAGTTAGTGGAGTGAGTTAGTTGAGTAAGTCGGTTGAGTGAGTGAGTTGAGTGTGTGAGTTAACTGAGTGAGTGAGTAACATTAGACAACAGTATATAACAAGTAACATTAGTGAGATGGAAAACAAGTAACAAG